TAGAGATCTTTTAATATCTCATGAGCCGCGAAATGCGCGAAAGGCGTGGCGTATCCCCATAATTCTTCTAATAAGCACGTTGTGAAAACATTGACTCAGAACTAGACCATGTGCATCATTACAAGTAGACATGAACTAAGGCGCTCGGGCATCAATAAAGTCAACTGGCGAACGTTCGTTATATATATTTTTATTGTTTAAATTAAAATAATAAAGAATAGGGCATTTTATTATGATATTTGTAATCGGATCAAAGGCTTGTTTACGCTAGAGCTCGAGAGAGACTGTGAATAATAGGTGTAATGTTTTTAGGACGTAGAATAATTTAGGCGACGGTCGGAATTATGTTTCTGCGCATATGAAGGTTAAAGCTCATAAGATTTTAAAACATCTCTAAGTCACAATTTGTCGGCTTAACGAAACTATACAAATTGTAGTAATGATAAAACACAACATAGCTGACTTATTAAAATCATATCTTATAAACTTGAAATTATTTCCTGCTATACTGAAATCGCCTTCTTTTAAAAATTAATGTACCTAATGGATATCAAAATATAAATAGATATTAAGTTATACTTGTATTATAGTCTTTCCGATCTCAATTGAACCAAGAGGTTGGCAGTATGTACCAGGTTCGGTCGCTGACGCAGCAACTCGGCATTGAAATATTTAAAAAATTTGTTCCCATATTTATTTAGCCATGCCCATATACAGGTCTGGTTGAACTAAACGTGGAAGTGGTAGAAATGTGCGCCCAGTTGAAGAATGGGCGCACGGGCAAACGGCGTATAACACAGCCGCACGGGGCGACTGGGCAATAAATCTCAGTTGTTGACAAGTGGTTGACTAATTTCCTAGCAGTGCAGTGCAGCAATGCGGAATTTGGTGTGATTCAGGTAATTTTAATTTATTATTACACATTATATACAAATTATTGTAATTTTTTACCTTAAGCAGAAAACTTTTTTAGGGACGCCTATGAAACTCATAAAATTTTAATTTTAGTCGTTTTTATACACGTTCTTCTGAAAAAACTGTACCAGGTAAAATGAAATTTTGAAACAGCGTCAAAAGTATTCATAACCTGATAGATTAGTACAATATAAATTGTTATTTTGATATATTTAAATTGATTTGACATATTTGATAGTAAAACCGGCGAATTTCAAGGGAAAACTTGGTTGTGTATCCTGAACTAACCACCCTTCATACCTTTAAGTAATTTGAGTTACTCATTCCAAACCACTTAAAAAAGCCTCCCTAAACCTCTTTAAAAAGCATATCGCTTTTCAATTTATTTTAAATATCTAGATAGCGCCTCATTCTGGATTGCCGCTATATTTCTAGTCCCACAGTAATTTGTTATGTACTTAGTTGCTGTAATCCGATTAACTTTTTAAGTAGAAAAGAAGTGTAGCATAAGCTGGATTACAGCCCTTTTTTTCCTTAACCAGAACGGCAATCTTAAGTGGATGTAGCTCGACTTGACAGCCCGACGTCTTTCTTGCGGTGCATCGGGAATTTCGCGGTTTTACTAAAAGGTTTTCGGATTGCCAGCTAAAACACCGAACGAAAACTTTCGACGCTCACGTAGAATCACTCTAAAACGTTATCGATTTGGAAGGTAGTTATCCTAATCTTACTTCTTTTAACATACATACATTTTTTGTTGTTCCTAAATATTAACTAGAGCTCGGGGGTTTTGTCGGCTAGTCATAGGCGTGTTCATCGTAAACAAATAAATAAACAGGTAGGTATAAATAAAAATAAATACATTGTGTAAAATAATAAACCTTTAGCTTTTGGCGAGGCTTTTGGTTATCATTCCAAATACAATTTCGAAGACATCAGTTGAAGATTGTGGCTACAAATAAAAAACTTACCAGCTTGTGTCGTCTTTTCGCTAGAACAAACGTTTTTCTTGTCAATGTTCGTGTTGGTGGACAGCAAGTTCGATGAAGAAGTAGCTGGAGAGTTGTTGTTTTGTCCATGTAGCACGATGACGTCGCTGAACATTACAGAGGAACGTCTTCTGTTGTTTGGCACCGATGGTGGGGATAATAGATTCGTCGGACTCTGGAAAAAACACATAAGTTTAAGTTTTATCTTTGTCATCACTTTAACAGTTAATATAATTCTCACGCATTTAGAAATACAGGATATGTGTTTGATTATTATTATTTTTTAATATGGTGAGAGGAAGTTATTAGGTACATAGATTTTTTGAAATAATAAAATTTGTTTCAATAGGTAGTGTTGCTAGAATTAGTTGTGCTTTTATTTTAACTCTACTGTATTTTTAACAACAAAAACATCATAGTGGGGGAAATTTTGAACACGCTTAGAAGTGCAGTAAGGCATTTTTAACACGATAACTTACTTCTTCATTATCGATAGTAGGGATCTCTAGAAATATACCCTAGAAGAAACAAAAAAAATTAAAGCCAAATTGGCAGTTATTTGTGGAACATATAACAGACAGCAAACATTTATTTTACAATTCAAATATGAATTTTTCTCTTTATTGTTTAATATGTTAAATAAAAAATATGAAGGAAAATCAAATAATAAAACTTCATGTCACCGCTGTTCTTGGTGGTGAAAATTCGAAATATTTGGAATTATTCAAATTTCGTGGCTGAAAACATACATAGGTAATGTATTTTTGAAACCGAGAGAGTTGCACGAAACTAAATTTGTATAGGACATAGCTATAGTCTGTTTAGAAATGAAAGAGAGTAATAAAAGCTTATTATGTATGCAAATCGTAAATAAATGTAGTACTGGTGCTTATATTCAATATTTTTATATTATGTAGTTTCGGTATAGATGAGGTGTACTTTTAAAAAAACTTTGTGCGATCGGACTGTACTAAATTGTTTTTAGTAATTCAAATAAAATTATTCAATATTATTATCAAAATATTTATTTAAATTTAATGAATAGACTTTTATTCCACACAAAAATATATGTATTTTGAAAATTCAAATTAGGTGAGTAAATGTAGTGTTGCATAAATGTACAATAAAGAAAATAAAAAAGTAGGTATATAAAAATTCATCCTCTGAATATTCTGATGAATTATCTTCGTCTCCTAGATTGATAACGATAGGTTTCACAGTAACGTCAATTAAATTATCGAGTTCCCACATTTTCTCCTCTTCTTTTTGTACATGATGTATACATCTTTGCCAGTTATTTGCAGTTACTCGTTCCAAGGAATTTTTTAACAAAATTTTCACGTCACTTAATTTAAACGTCGTATTATTTCGCGCTACATCTCCTTTTACCTGCGCCCAGACTAATTCGATTGGGTTAAGTTCACAGTGATAAGGTGGTAACCGTAGTATCGTTATTTGGCGATTTGTTGCCATTTCATCGATAACATGTTTTTTCTGATCTTTATTAAGATTGACACGTGTCAAAAGTTCCTTTTTCACCATATTTGTTTCAAAAGAATGTTTTTTCCGGATAACCATTGAATTATATCGGCTTTCCTCCAAGCAGTCGTAGGCGTCCGCTCGGTCTGCCGTAAATGGTAACTGGCATTATCCATGACAATTACAGACCCCGGAGGAATAAGATCCAACATCTGTGTAAAATACTCTTCGAAAACATCTGCGTTCATGTCTTCGTGATAGTCACCTGTATTTTTAGATTCAAATAAAAGTAAACCGCCATCTACAAAACCACTGGCACTACCTATATGTGTCACTATTAATCTTCGCCCTTTACCTGAAGGTGCCTTGAACCCTGTTGAAAGTCCATCCAAAAATGGCTTGTCGAAAACTTTTTACATTTTTATCTTGCCATACTTTTGTTACAGTATATCCCTCGTTGACCCAAGTTTCGTCTAGATAATAAATATTCCTCCCTTCGTCACGGAATTTTCTAATTGATCTTAAGTAGGATCTTCGCCAACAAATAATTTCATCTTTATCGATAAGAACTGACTTCCTGTTCTGCTTTTCCCAGCAAAAATTCAACTCTCGTAAGACGGCCCATAATTTGCTTCTACTGATTTTTGGCAAATCGTTGAACCTCTGAAAGTTCACTTAAAATTTTGTTTAGCGTTGGTATTTCTTTTTAAAATAAAATGAGTGTACTTTTCTGCGAATGACATTTTTGAAGAAATGATCTATAACGACTTTTGACCTCCCTGTAGATGATTTTGGGGGATTTACAGTATCTTGTTCATTCTTTGTTTCCTTTAAAAGTCTGTAGATAGTCGATTTTCCAATCCCTGTCATTTTGGAACACTTTTCCACGATATCGTCAACACTGTTAGTAGGATTTTGGTGTTTCAATGCATTAAATACATTTAATATAATAATCTTCTCATTCTGAGACAGCGCACATATTTTCACGCGTTTAGCAGGTATGTAATCTGATAAGCTCGACATTTTACCCAAACTATATTATATCCACTGGAACAATAGTCACTAAACACAAGTCGAATTTTACTCTACTGCACTAGCACGTCTTCGTATATTCAGGTCTAAGACTGGATTGATCTGTCACAATACACTGGCTCCTGCCCTATGGTGTATCCAGTAAAATATACTAATGTACACCCATTACCTGTTAGCATTAGTGTTACCCGATAATTACCTGAAACGAAATATTACCACGCCCATGGCCGGTTCTTATCTCGGGGTTTTATTACTCTCTTTCATTTCCAAACGGACTATAATCGACGTATCCGAGCGTTTTTCCCCAAAATAATTACCTGAATTTTAAACGAATTTGTTCCTTTCATCATGAACGCACTGTATATGTCTAGAACGGTCGATTATTTCCTAAAGTAAGATAGCTATCGAAAAATCATAAGACACACGTTTTAGGGTCTTTTAGTCTTCGTCCGTATCGGAATGTATATTTTATCATTTATGCCACACAATTAGCGGAATAATGTTTAAAATAATCGTATTGAAAAGCGGCCTTATTAAATTTCTCCATGCAAATCTTTGGAGAATTCAATGTCTCGAACTTTATTAATCAATTTGTAAAGCAGCAAACAGCTTCTATATATGATTAAACTACTTACGTCGTTATTGAAGGAAGCGATATCCTGATTAGAGACGGACGGCACCCGGAGCAATCCGGGCCTTTTTGGCACGACGACGGCCAGCTCCACGTCGTCGGTGCGGTTGTTGTCCCTGGCAGCGTGCTCGCTCAGGCAGATCGAACTCGTCCTCGACACGGCACGGGTGCTTGGCAGGCTCTGGCTTTGCTGCGGAAGAAAATACGCAATAAATAAAAAAATACTAGGTCAGGTAGTAAATGATTTCGGTTTTCCGGGAATAAACTGTAAAGATACATTTATTTTGTTAATAGTTATCATAAATATACGAAAAAGAACGGAACTGTAAATACAAGTCGTATAGCAATTAATAATTTAAAAGTTGCAACAGAACATCGCAACAACACCCCGTTCCATCATTTTTAGTTTTGTAGTGCCACATCAAAGAATTGTTACGTATCATTACAGCTATCAATCAATACAGTTTGATTTCAAACATGGAGGTGGTCAGAGGAAATTGCTCTATGTGGAACAGAAGAATGTTTGTCGCAGTGATACGAGTCGGTGTTGCATTCACAGTTATTATTCCTATCCACGTAAATCTACGTAACATCGTCGCGTAACTATAGCAAATCGTTGCGCGACAGTGTTACGTTGCGATGTTCTGTTGCGAATCTGAAGTATTAAAACAGAAAAGTGAAAAAAAAAGAGAACTATTTCGTTTTCTTTCCGTCAAACAGTCGCAATCAAAATGTTTCGAAGTTTTATTTGTGAGAAGATCTAGAAATTATGATTGGTCCATTGAAAGCTTTGTTCTAGTAGCATGATAATTGAATTGTATTATTTTGAAACAAAAACGGTATCTAGGATTCTTCAGTTATACTATTATTATCGGCGGCCCATATTATCATATTGAAAAGAAGTGAATTCTAATTGAATTCAATAGCAGTAAGATTTTTAGACTTTTTTGAGAAATAAGATTTTTAGACTTTTTTGAGAAATTAGTTCTTTGCTCTTTTACATTTAGAAAATTATCCTTTTAGAAATATAATTTTTTCCGACGGAGCAACGTTCAGTTTCAATGGGACAATGAATTCTCAAAATTGTCGTTGGTGAAGTGATGTTAATCCTAATTTTACTATTCGGACTCGTGATCACTACTCATTTAAAACAAATGTTTGCTGTGGGATTTGTAAATTGGAATATTTTTGTATACAATTTTATTCATGAACTCCCCGTACATCACAGAGACAATATCTAAGTATTTTTTTTAATGGAAAAATAATTGATAGATATTCTCACATTTTCTAGTCCGCTAGGTTACCGGATCTGATCCCTCTCTATTACTTTTATGAGGCTATTTAAAAGAGCCTGCAAGAGCCTTTTCAAAATAGACCATCTGGAGAGATTAATCAGAGAGACAACAGAAGATACAATAACTCCTGTCATTATTAGAAATGTTTTAAAAGAATTTTCAACAAGAACGGCCACTTGTATGGAAAGGGAAGGTGGATACATGGAGGCTAATGTGAAGTGACGAAAAATGCATTTAAATTATTTTCATGTAATGCTTACTATTGAAATTGTTTTGTGTTTTTGACAAGGAAACATTCATCAATTATTATTATTGAATGAAATTTATTTGCGACGTGAATCTATTCATTCAAAAGTCTTTTGGGTGTAACTAATCAGTGACTTGTTCTAAATGGTGAAGCTTAAAAAATATCTTGTTTCAATATTGCCGGAAAACAAGGTCTCATATTCACATTCTAAGCTTTCATTTTTGGCCACCCTGTATATGTTATCTCAAATGTGAAGAATTTAATACCATTTTTTTCAAAAAGTAGAAATCTATAAAGAATATTTTTATTTCGTCAAATTGATAATAAAAAGTTACCTATTTGTAGAGAATGGACAAAAAATAGAAAGATGTTACGAATCTAAACTTAGACTTAATTTTTAATTCCAAGTAACATTTTCCCATTATATTTTTCTCTAAAACAAAAATTAATTGTGCTTCTTCCTTGTCAAATTTGATTATTTTTTTATTTTTGGCCTCCCTCTATATGCTATTTCAAGTTTGAAAAGTTTTATAGGTACCATTTTTTTAAAAAGTAAGTAAAGTAAGTAAGTAAAAGTAACTTTTTATAAATACCTACTTTTTTTCGTAAAATTGATAAAATAATAAAAAAAATTACCCATTTGTAGAGAACTTAAAGGGACACACTGTATATAAATACCACTTCGTTTTAAATAAAATTGGAAACTTTTTCTCTATACAAATAATGCAGCTGTCATATTCATAAGGGATTCACGAACAATAAAAAACACCGCCTTGTTTTAAGGATGTGCGATTGGAAAGGTATGTAAAAAAATTGTTGTCCTCAACTATCGTTCTATGACCCTATTGATTTGTATTATAGACACTGTAGTAACAGAGGGGACACAACCCAGGTTAGTACACAATGGTCACTTGAAAAAGTCCCGTGCCACAATTTGTAGTTATATAGTTTGATTTTTTCTCAGTGTATTTGGGTATTATGTGAGACAGTTAAAAAAATATTTAAGTACACCTTTGCGCCAAAAGTATAAGTCGAGGGCTATTTTTATGAAACCATGTTTGTGTATGTAATTAGGGTGAAAAAATAAATTAGCAAGCTTGGAAAATTACGTTAATCAAAATTACTCAACGGAACGACCTGCCATTCTGGTTTCTGTCGGTTCTTTAATTTGTCATCCCTTTTAATTATTAAAAAAAAAAGTTTTCCTTTATTTTGCCACAGCCTCAATCATACGGTAGCCGCGTCGCAAGAGTGAATCTCGCATTATCTTGTTAATATATATACAGTGTGTTCACGATGGAGTTGCACAGAAAGAACATTTTTTATGATTTTATGAAAAAAAAAAACAAATCTGGTTAAAAAATTATGCTTATGATCAAATGTAGAAAAATGAAATATTAATTGGGCCAACGTATACAGGATATCATCTATTAAAAAATTATTAGAAATACAGTAACCTTAGAGCTCAATAATATACTAGGTCACATAATAAACATACAAAAAGCCAATCTTTTTCTAACATTTAAGATATGTATATCTTAACACCCTGTAGGGTGTTCACATGTCGTCTGAGGAAATTTGGCATTTTGAGAACTATTCTGCTTGGTTAAAATTAAATACGCAACCTATTTTTACTTCTTAAATATTAAGAATGCCTTGTTTGAAACAAAGAAAACCTGTTTACAATTAAAATTTATTTCTATACTCAAATGTGGAAGCAGTTGGCCTCCTTTGGGTTTTTCAGTGTTTCCATGCTATGTAGGTAAAATACAATTTTTATAAGAAATTGGAAAACCTTTTATTATAAGTTATCTAGAAAATATTATATTTGCCAAATTTGTTTGGGACTCAATGTCATTATCAAAATAGACCCGATTATCTTCGAACTTGGTATATGTACATGAATTTCAGTTGTTATTTGTGACATAATTTTAGTTTGCTCTTTGTTTATTTGGGTATTTTGCCATCTATTTAAAAAAAATTATGAAATCCAAATCCAACAGGATCAAGGGTTATTTTTATAAAACCTGGATTATTCACCGGCACCCCAGGCTGACAGGGCAGGCATTAGGGTGCCGCTAGATATGTATCGAATAAATTGATCGAAGCGAAGCTTCAGGTCACTTTTTGTTTGAATAAAATTACATAAAGAGAACTCGACCTATAGCCAACCCTGTACTACATTGCAGCCGCCTTACTATTTCCGATCACTTTGAATATCGACTACAATGAAACCTAATACGTAACTTGTATACAGTTACAACGTTCAATATCATTAATAGACTGCAGAAAACGAAGTTTCGCCCACAAGTTTAAAGCGAGGGCTTCTATAGGAAAAGAAACAAAGGTAGGTCCACAGAAGTACATCGGTAAATTAAGAAATTACATGAGCCTGGATATTATACTCACAAACCACCGCGAACCGATCATTATATTCCCATCTTATTGTAAGACTCCTTTTGTACGGACTACCCTATAATGAATCCGCTTAATTGCAAAATAAATAGCCCAGCGTGTCTTTTTTTTCTTTATTTATTTAAATTAATGTCTTGGAGGACTCGGGGTTAGCGAAAAAACAATGAAAGTGTAATTTTTCATTTCGGGCAGCATATCAATCGGGATTCATGGAAATGAATATTTTAATATTAAATTTTCATTTCCTTGGGAAGTTTAAACGAGACAGGGGTGGAATTTATTCGAGTTAACGATATGCCGTCGCGAAGATACACCCGTCAGGGATTTCCTACCTTCTGGACGATTTACTAACAAATTGCTTAATCTTCCCCCCCCCCGAATTTTTTCCGCAAGGTCCTTAATTATAAAGTTTGCGAAAAAGTTGAGGAGGGTTAATGGAGATTTTTCAATTTATTCCAAAAAAATACTGCCTGAATAAAATACTCTTTGTTAGTAGAGAATTACTTAGTACCCTTTTGTGTTATACAGGGCGTGTTTCAAAACATTCCAGAAGACGTTTTCTTAATCATGTTAAGAAAACAGATTCAGAAGTTATTTGTTGTAAACGATATTTCCTGGAAAATCGGTTTCTTCGACTTCCTAATATTAGTCGAGTCTTTAATATTAACCCAGCTCCAGAAATTCGCAAATTGTTTAAATGTGGACACTTCTAAGAAGTATTAATTATTTTTATAAACTCTAGGAAAACATAGCCATTGCTACCTCAGGCTGGTGAAAATTCAGATATTTGTCTTAAGGGATGACAGTTACATGACAGTTGATAGGATTCTAAGACCAAAAAAAAAACAATGTATTTCACACGAGGAGAAAGCCAATCTATAAGTTAGGTTAGCATTAACGGTACTGCTCGTTAGTCTGGCACGGACGGTATCCACAAATCGCGATTTACTCTCCGCGTGACGTCATACTATGACCGCGGATAGACGCAACATCATATCTGTTTGCTCTTTGGATTAAGATCGGCACTACTTTCATTCTTTTGATGTACTTACATGACTGACGTTCTGCCTCAATCTAGGACAGTTCGGGTGGTGCCTCCTGGCATAGTTAAGTCTTATAGTCTCTCCCGCTATCATCTTCCTGTCCCTCCTCTGGTCCCTGCGCACCCTATACAGCCGGATTTTCTTCAGCATCCGCCTCTTGTTCCGCCGCCAGAGGTGTGCGATGTACTTTACAATTTCCGCGTAGCAGCTGGTCGGTTCGCTATTATTCGTCGATGACGCCAGTGTGCTGCTGCTCTGGAAGCGGGCGCGCTCTAGCCTCATCCGCTCCATCTCGCGCTTCTTCGTCTCTGAGAATTGCGTGGCGATGACGACCAGGCAGAGGTTGATCATGAAGAAGGAACCGATCTGGAACGGAAACGTTTATTTGATGATGCAAAAAATATAGGAAAAAAAATTTTACCGCTATATTGATTACATTAACGTTACATTTGCAGAAGTGATACTGTTGTCTCTATAGATTATGCAAGCTAGCTATATGAAATCTACACATTATATAGGGTGTTCAAATTTGAGTTAACTTTTTAAATCTACAGCCATTTGTATTTTTTTCTACTAGAATGGTTTTGGTTTTTTGATGGCTGTTAAGTTGAAATATGGCAGTTAATGAATATGGAGGAGTATGCTATTGAACAACGCGTCTTTATTGTTAAAAACTATTTTAAATTTGGTGAAAGTTATGCAGAAGTTGAAAGAATATTATGGAAAAACAAATTGTCCAACAAACATCACCATTGGAAATATTTTAAAGAAATTTGAAGAAACTGGTTCAATTCAAAATCAAAGAAGTAAAATTTACAGTCGTACTGGTCGTTCCAAAGAAAATATTGCAGCTGTTATTGATACTGTTACTGCAGAACCAAACACATCAATTCGTTGACAGCAATTAGGCATTAAACAAACCACTTTATTCAATTTTTAGCATAAGGATCTTCACTTAAAGGCTTGCAAAATACAGTTAACACAAAAATTATTTCCAACTGATCGTGGATTACGTCATAAATTTGTTAATTGGGCTCTTGCAGTGAAAAAAATGATGATTTTATAACAAAATCATTAATCATGATCATTTAATTATGAGGGTCATTTTGAAATTGGTGGATATGTAAACAAACAAAATTGTTGAAGAAAACCTACGATTAATATTGGGACAATTAATGGATCCACAAAAAGTAACTGTTTGGCGTGGTTTTTGGTCTGGTGGGGTGATTGGTTCATACTTCGAAAATGAATCTGGAAACATTGGAATGGTGCTCGATATCGAACGATGATTAATAACTTTTTATGGGATGAATTGGAGCATATTAAAGTGCAGAATATGTGGACGATGTCATACAGCAACTGAAACAGTCGATCTTCTGAAACAGCTATTTGGTCATCGAATAATTTCTGGAAGAGGAGACGTTAATTGGCCACCAAGACTCCTTTTTTTGGGTTTTTTGGAGAACGAAGTTTATGCTGAGAATACTCAAAACATCACAACCCTTGGTGTTACTTAAATAACCATGATTTTTCTGATTGTTATGCACCTGATCGCCGCCAATTACAGACTTACAATACTCTTTGATTTGCACTTGTTGTTCTTGAGCTAGACTCTCTGGTGACGTTATCAGAACCCCAATATTGACCTAGTTTCTCGCTGGCTGGACCGCTAAGAACGGAACTAAATAAATTACTTTCAAATTAAATTATAAAGCAACCACCTTTCGTCAGCCAATCGTACGGCGGCGTAATAATAATGATAAAGAATAATGCCTTACACTTCTTTCTATTCCTTGAATACATCGAAATGAAAGCAAATTGAAAGCAAAGGCCAGTCGTTAGTTAAATTATGGTATTTACGAGACAGAAATAAGAAATATTCTGAATGAATTTGAAAGGCGTTTTTTTTTTTATTTTAACAAATTCACGAATATTGTAACTTTCATGAGCTATCCGTTTTCTTGTGAAGACGTTGAAAAATGTGCTACTAAAATATCAAACACCTTCAATCAAGACTTGTTTTTTGTGGAAAATGAGGTACTGCAGATGATTTCAGATAAACATCTCAAAACAAGAACAAGTGATCCAGAATTTTGGTCTTTTATATCTGAAGATAAATATTCAGGTTTAAATCAAATTGCGCTTCAAATAACCGGATTGTTTGGATCAACTTATCTAGGTATGCGTTTTCTGAAATGAAAATTATTAAATCCAAATATCGCAGTCGGCTTACTGATGAACATTTGCCATCGTGTCTGCAACTGTCAATCAGCAATAATTACGTGCCATCTTATGAAATGTACGCTGACGATATGCAATGCCAAGCATCGACTTCCACAAACATATAATTATCATTACTATTATATACCTATGTATAATTTGTATGTGCAATAAAAAATTTTAATTTCATTACGGTTTTTTGTACCTAGTACGTAGAATTCAGATTTTGATTGGCCATATTACAGCTCAGTTCTATTGCCCCCCCACCCTTACTTTTTGGTGTCGATCGCTTGCCGCTCAATTTTTTTGCGGTAGATCTCCGATAGTACAAGTCTGAGCACCGCTGTTCTAAAAGTTCGTAATATCTTTTTTTATATACATTTTCTTCAAAATTAATTACGTGAGGTCTCGTATATCTCAGCTTAGGCTCTGATAGTGTCGCAATCTTCTTCAATTTGCTGTTGTAGAACTAGCACGATCTTAATTAGTTGTGCATACATCAAATTTTTAAGATAAAGTTTAGCACAATCAGGTCTGGAGATCTAGGTGTCCAATCCACCTTTGTTTATAATTTCCATTTAGGTACCCCGAACTTGTAACTAGAAATGAGGAAGAACGCTACTGTAAATAAACCACAAGCCACACCTGATATTCAGTAAAATGCTCATAAATTACATAGTTTAATTGATTACACAATACATGTACTATTAACCCGTCTCCTAGAGTGCCAATCCTATGTCTGGCTTCAAATGTTAATTTGGCACTGACACTAGTTCCAGAATTTTCTCACTTCAGAATTTGCTCTCATAATTCAGGTGTGGAAGCGGATTTAGATCTTCCAGAGTCGATTGTTTGTTAATAACTTGTATGGTTTAACGAATAAGACTGACTAAAAACTGTATAACTGATTGACTGAATTTGTTTGGAAAAAAGATTAAGTTGGTGTTACTTTACTTAACTCTATTCAAGATGCCATAAATAGTTCACTACTGAAAATACCTTTTCACGAGAACAGCATCTTAAATCTAACTTAAATGTCCCCTTAAATAAAGGGTTTTTTATAACGTTTGCACTTTCCTTTACGTGTTCTTAAAAGCTGACAAATATATTTGAGTAGAGTTGACCCAGTTCCTGTCTGCACATTTTCCGCTTCGAACTAGGCTATATCCTTCTGGTTTATAGATACATTCAATGCCAATAGGAATTCCCTGACGCCGTCATCGTCCTCCCTAAAGCTTAGCTGTCGTTTTTGCGCTCTGTACAGATAAGATTAAGCCGAATTCTCCCTTTTTCTGCGTCCTCCACGGACGGTGACTAAGCGCTCGTCAAACTACACAACCAATAAAGACGTCATCGGGCGCTTCACTGCCATGTAAACGTCGGGGTGGAAATGAAGGATCAGTGTAAAGATCGGTGATTGTTTTGTGTTGTTGTTAGGCGTTAACGATGTTTGCGCCGGGAACATATCAGGAACTTTGTCGGGCCCGCATCGAATCGAGTTGTCTGTGCTCGTTCGAGTTTGAATAACCCCGGTCTGGTGGAATTTTCGGGGTTTTGCTCGGGCGGTTTGGTTGAGGATTAGTTACGTGATTATCGTTAAGACTGGGTAATGGCAAGAAAAGCCTTAACAAACTACGCAAGCTTTGCATGCTGTTTTTCTTTCATAAAACCTGGATTTTGAGAGAGAAGTATGAGTATAAAATTGGACAAATTTCACTAGGGCTCTGAAACAAGTAAATTAGAGATAGAGGCATTTGATGTAGAATGAGATGGTAAAGGAAGCAGTAGGTAACCCATAACTCTCGAGAGGGAGTAAGGATCACATTGGAATCTGCCTGTCAGATAAGTGTTTTTACTTGACTGTAAAGGTATGAATCCATAAACGCTTAAAATCGGATTTTTGAGGAGGTATATTTGAACTTCGGCCATCATTGCATCCTGTTGAGAATACAATCAAAACTACTAGACTTCATACTTTTAGGGATGTTCATTCAGATGCTGCCCATAGAAATTGAAAAAAAGATCACGAAAACGGGCTTCTAAATTGGAGGGGAGTGGGCTTTGAAGATTTTATTGCTAAGGTATGTGCCTAAACAGTACATAAAATCTCTCAACTTCAGGATTCATTTGTTGAAACAAAATTGAGTCCGAACCGGAAAATGATGGCATCAGGTTTTGATCTATAAAGGTGTCTCAAGAAACGAAACAGTTTTAGAATTGGTTAAAGAAACCGTTGGAGTTTTTGGGTCATTTTTCAAACAGGGGAAAATTCCTTGTCAAAATCATCAATTTCTTGACTCCTTGTGGTGCGACGTCGATGCTTGCTGGTTCTGTGGATAAAGCAAATAATGCTTCCCCTGTTGCTATAGTTAATTGTTGTTTAATAATTCTACAAACAGTGTTCCGACCGTAGCCTCTTCTACATCAACGATGTAATGTAGGGGCGCCATATCTTGCTGGAACCACAAATCATTTCTATTTGGAAATAGCTGATTCAGTTGTGGTAACAGATAACCCTGCTGAAATTCTGGTTGTTTATAATTCCGGCCCAAACGTTCACCTTTTCTGGATACTGTATGCTAGACTCCTCCATCCAATGTGGATTTTCACTTGCTCAGTATAGATACGTCTGGCGGTTTATGTGACCATTGAGTATAAAATCATCATCTCTGAAATTCTGATCTATGTTAGGTAGATTCCATAATGGTGTCGTAGAATTCGATTCTTCTATCAATCTCATCTTCTAACAGCTCTTGGACCAGATATACTTCGTAAGGATACAACTTTTTCTTTTTTAGTACTCTAACAACAGTTGATGTATGTAAATCATTATCCAGTGCGACTTGACTCGCGCTAGTATGAGGATTTTCTTGAAACGCAAGTACTACTTCCAGTTTTTTGACTTCAGGAATTGATTTTCTTCCACTTTTGGGGAGATCTCTAACATGATTCGTCTCTTGAAACTTTTTCTCTAGTTTACTTATTACTGATTCAGAAACAGGTTCCCGATTCGGGTATTTAGCGTTAAATAAATTACGAACTTGTCTCTACACCCAATCATGATTAAAATTTCGATTCGTTCGGTTTCTGGAAACTTCATTACTAAATCATACTGATTGAAATATTTTATTTAACCAAACATGTAATTGTAAATGTGACAGGACTGTGATTTAGAATGTAGTAGGTACTTTTATCAGTCACTATATTTTTTCCGAATCAATAAAAATAGCAAAAAATACTACGATGTTTTATTTCCAGTTCAGTGAATGAACATTTATTGTAAATTCATTCTACTTAAGTAAATACATAATTTAGGTTAACCCTGTAGAAATGTATACTTACTGAACCAATTGCAATCTAGTAGGAAATTAGGAAATTCATAATACGTTGCGACTTTTTTAGACACAGTTTTTAGGAAAATCACGTAAATAGTTCAAAATAAATTTTTAAAATTTCGCATTCTCTAAAAAAACATCAGCAAGAGTTTCAGCTACCCAATTTAATTACTTTCATTTAAAGCACCTATATCTAAAATTTCATCGATTTGTAATGCAGAATATTTTTATGCATAGTTTAGTTTTAAATTTATAAAATTTTCGTTTCAGTTTAAAATCTAAGGGGTTTAAAAAATTCTTCTAGATGAAAAATTTACACTGCTGATGTTGATTGGCAAATAAGCAAAGCCTACAATTATTTTGTGATAGGACCTAATATTTTCACAATTTTAGGCTGATAAGCAGACTTACCAATTGGCATTTCCTGTGCCTTTAAGATTTTTAAACTACAACAATCTTAAAAAAATTAAATTCTTGTAAATTTAGAGCACAACAAAAACTAAACAAAACATTTGAAAGGGTCTAAATTGCGATGAAGCCTTGTATTGAAGAGAAACATAAGCGGCTTAGATTGAAGGCAAAATTTTAACGTTTAATGTTTGCGGTACTTTAAATACTTTGTGAAATGACTTTTATACTTACCACTATGAGTAAAACAAAATATATCCAGTCCCAAAAGCTATGGCCATCTTGGACATAGTACATTATTTCCGTCCAGCCCTCTAATGATATGACCTGTAATAAAAAAAAATAATTTAATATTTATTATTTGTATACTATAAAGTAGTAGTAAAATTTAACTGCAATGAGGTTGATTCCTGTTTTTTTTTTAAACAGGTATTTTGTAATTTTTTAAATCGTTTTGTGCGTACCATCAGATCATGTAAATTATGAGAGGATAATTTTTTTAGCTACTGTTAATTGCTTTAATTTATTTTTTCTATGCTTTTTCCATATAATTAAATAATAACCAGGATAATACACTTCTTTGGGAAATAAATATGACATAATACCAATGAAAATTTCTAAATCTGAAGGTTTTAAAACTAAGTAAAAACTTAATCATCCACTTTAGTCCAGGGAAGTTAGGAAAAATTGCGGAAATTTTTAGGTGAAGCAGATATCGAGATGCGGTTTTCTGCATTGTGTTCAGGAAGGTCCCAGGAAAAAAGTCTATATCGTCTGGTTAAGCCATTTTCGGAAAAATGCCTTCTGGGCCGGAAAATGCATTTTCCAATTGCACCATTACTTGCACCATTATAGGAACGACTGGAAACTCGGAAAAATCGCTCGGAAATCGTTACTCGGGGAGTTTCCGGGGCTGCCGAACTCGATTCTGGCATTAGACTTCCCCGGGGGCGCTGTGGGAAATGGTAAAGGAGAAAGTGAAAAATCACAAATTATGAAAATAATACTCTATTCAAATAACAAATAGGCGTTTTTATTAATGTTGAATTATTCATTATAAACTTAAATTTTTAACTTAAATACTAAACATCTTGTTCAAACTCTTCTTCTTCTTCCCCTTCTTCATCTTCTTCCTCGTCATTATTCTAGGCTCCGTTGGAAATGCCTTTTTGGTTTGAGCAATTGCCATCGCAATGCTTGCATGCAAGTGAGCACTCCAACCCACTTCGGCTTCACCCGCACCTCGTGCCACAGTCGGTTTCACAAGAACAAGAAATTTTTGCTTAAAATTTCCTCGGGACCGGCTTCCTGGGTCATGGTGACAGGACTGAGCTCTCCATCCACCAATTCCCACCCCCATTCCAACGGATCTAAGGTCTCGTCTTGACCTTGTGAACCATACCAAGCCTGTACTTGGAAATAGACACGCTTGATATGCTAACGCATTGGCAGTCGGGATTATGCGTGCAAGATCGACTTTTTTAGAATTGGTGGTCCACGTGGTCCAAGAGTGCCAGACACCACTCAAACACCAAAAAAGGTCCACAATCCAAAAAACTTGATTATTTTAGCACTATATTAACGTATAACAAAAAACCAACGTGGTATAAGAGTGCCGGACAGACCAAAAAAAGGTCCAAAATCCAAGAAACTTGATTACTGTAGCACTGTATTTACATACAACGAAAAAGCAATGTTGTCCTAAACGACAGATGTAATACTGATGCCACACAGACGCCGACTGCGCGCAGGAACTGGACCCATATTTTTTCTCTTCAGTCGATACAGAATATTTCTTTTCGTGCCGGTCCCCGTGGTAACGATACTCTACTCTCTTTATAGCTTTGGCGCCTTTTTCAAATCCAGTTTCGAAGCACAAAAGACTTCCAAAGCAATTGTTTTTATAATATATGTAATATTTATTTATTTAATATTCAATCAAAATTTTTATTATTCATACCCCCGGGTAATTCTAATGCCAGAATTGAATTCGGCATCCCCGAAAACCCCCGAGTAACGAGTTTGGAGCGCTTCCCATGGCCTATGCAATTTCCCCCCCGGCCACCCCCGCAGAGCCGCCTCCGAGCGCCCCCGGGTAATTCCAATGCCAGAATTGAATTCGGCATCCCCGAAAACCCCCGAGTAACGAGTTTGGAGCGATTTTCATGCACGCTGCCATTTCTCCCCCAATTCACCCCCCGCGCACCCCCACAGAGCCACCCCCGTGCACCCTCGGGTAATTCTAATGCCAGAATCGAGTTCGGCAGCCCCGAAAACCCCCGAGTAACGATTTCCGAGCGATTTTTCCGAGTTTCCAGTCGTTCCTATAATGGTATATATAAGTAATGGTGCAATTGGAAAATGCATTTTACGGCCCAGAAGGCATTTTTCAAAAAAATGGCTTAACCAGACGATATAGACTTTTTTCCTGGGACCTTCGTCAACAAAATTCAGAAAACCGCATCTCGATATCTGCTTCACCTAAAAATTTCTGCTATTCCGGTCGATTTTGATCTAAATGCCCTGGACTACTTTATGGATATTACTTTGAGGAATTTCGATGAAACGTAAAAAACGAAAGAGTAATTTGTTAAACATTGATTTTATTTTATAACTGTTTTATATTCTTTTCTTTATTAATTTGATTCTTTTTTAAAAACTTGTTTACAGATAGATGGTAATAAAAAAGACAAAAACCAAAACTGTGCCTCAAAAAAGTTACCCCAGACAATATTTTATTTTTACATCTCTAATATTTTATACATAATTTTAGTTAGGGGAACAACCTTGTTCTTAAATACTTAACTAATTTAACATATATAAAAATCTGTAAATGTAAAAAATATGTTGGTTGTATATATCAAATTTATTACAGAGTTACAACAATGATGACATCTGTTCCTAATATACACGGGCAAAGGGTTACGGAAGGGCCAAATTCCTTGACTTTATCTTGCCATTGTTGGGTGAAATGGGTGCTAGATTCCTGGAAATGTAAGATGCCCTTCCGGCAACCGTAGACACCCTTCCAGGAAATATATTTTATTAAAATGGGTTAGGGACCCAAGTCTAATATTTAGGGAATACTTGTTTAACAATTAAAAAACTGGCTGAAATATCGGCACCGAGTAAAATACTTAGTTTTGAATTACAGTCGTAGTAGTTTGTTAGTATTTTTTTAATTTGGTACACACATACTCAACACATTTAAGTGCCTAGTTAATAAAAAAATAAGTCAATTTACAGGATTTTTTTATCAAAGAGAATACAAATTGGGAACTTTGCTACATATTTATTATGTATTTACCTAAGTGAAAAAAAAAAAAATAATGTAGGTACAAAATACTACCATGGTTATATGTCATACGCCGCCGTCACCTTTACAAAGAAAGGTCCACTTTGTGTAACCTGTAGAAGTCGTAAACTTTATTTAAAATCGAAAACTTTTCTTAAATATGTAATCGTAGTTGGAGGATATACTAATAAAATCAATAAAAACTCGGAAAGCGGAAAAACGGCCGGCGTACGAATTTTAGTCTCGATTTTTCAATTTTTTTATCTTGAAAGTAAAATAAAAATTATTTTTTTCCTATTTTGTTAGAACCGAGCGATTTAGAATAATTGAAACTGACGTCACATGTAAATGTTACCAAAGATATTAAAATTTATTTCCATTTAATCAAAATTACTTTCCGTTTTCTTAGATTTCCGACCGACACGATCTGTCAATTCAGAAACGTCTGTGCTTCCCGGGTTGCTTGCTGTTGTATTTATTTATGTGCGCCGATTGTATTTTTATTTGACTTTATCGTTATTCTTCTAAATAATAAGTGTGTTTCAACGCTAATCATCTGTTAACTGTTAGTTTTGTGGTAAGGAAGCAAACACTGATGGTTTCTTCGATATAAAATACTCGAACTGTTTTAGGATAGAAAATGGGTCTGTTCGTTAGAAAACGATAAATTTATTGTAGAGGCTTACTTTCGGAGTGTTCAACGAGATGAACGTGGATGGAATCAGTCAATCCATTCATATTTTTTACAATTCCAGGAAGAGTTTCCGAATCAAGAAGCCGCAGATTATAATATTTTTGTTCAGCATATTCGACGTTTGGTGATACCATTCAGAAATAGTGGCGGTGTTTGTAAATGGAAAATCACCTGGAAGAAAGTCAGTTTTAACTGAAGATAGACTTTAGGATGTTAGAAAGGATTTCGCAGCAAGCTCCACTAAACCTTTACGCTAACTTTCAGCTCAGGCGGGTAAATATTTATAAAATGTTAAATATCAGTATTTAAAAATATTAATTATAGGAATGTCATGGTTCAGTACACAGAGGCTGTAAGAAAATTACATTTGCATCCGTAAAAGTTTCCATGGTGCAAGAATTATTACCATTAGATGACGAAAAAAGAGTGAATTGGTAACTGGTTTAACAACAACTTAAACGATTATAATCTTTTAGTTATAACTTTTTTACCGATGGGGCATGCTATTATGAAGGTGTGACATTATTTTAATGGGTCCTACCTAATTTTCGCGGATTGTGCACTATTTCCTGAACTTCCTGTATAAGTCTTTGATATGTGAAAAGTATCTCATGTCATTGGTAACAAAAACAACCATCGAATAATTTCCATTTCTGTCATAAACGATATACGATTTGATATACAACTTTATTGGATTTATTCATCAAGCCAAACGACAGCTGCGAGGCGTTTTTTTATCTCGCACGGCACATCCCCTAATTAATTTACAATTTTATTGCCGTACATTGTAAAAAATATTATCTATTATTAATAACACAACATATGCACCAATAAAACCTCTATTGGTACATTTTTAACAGTGAATGATATGATTGTCGCCGAATCTGTAACATGAAATACCGGTTTTATTAGCAATTTGAATGCAGTTTGCCTCCCACAAATGCGGATGTTGCATTATGTGGAAGCTTTACGTTGTAAAAGAGAAATATTGGGTCCTTAAATAATCTAATAGCAAAACGTTTCCATCTCATACATTTATATGGAAAATGTGGACAGTTTTCTTGTTGCTCTTTGAGAATTTCATTAAGAATGTAATATAAATATGAAAACGTTACGGTAGACATTGGGAATGCCCTGGAAATTCTTGAATTTATTGCCCGGTTTCTGCAATATCACAGGTGGCTCTGCTTCTGGCTTTCATTTTTAATAAGTATTCGCCAAAGATACACTCAATTTATTTATTTTTATGAAAAGAACTAATGTATATATGTTATTTATCTTGTTATTTCGTTTTGAACATATCAAGTGATAGATTTTATAGTAACTAACTATTTAAGT